TCTTGCAATATTCTAAATGTTTCTAAACGCTCGAAAAGAGACAGAATGTCATGATTTCAGCTCCTGCCTCCGCTGCTCTTAGTCACCTGCAAGAGTTCTTGGCCACGCCCACTTCTCTGATCTGCACAGAGAACAGCTGATCAGCTGCAGCAGGAAGTTTATCCTGCAGTGTGGGCCAAATAATTAAAAATATATATTTTAAATAAAAATTACATGCCGATCGTGCGGCTCATCCATCAATCAGCCAATTGTGTGTCAGGTCCAATTTTATTTTGAAAAACCGTGATAGAGCAAGTCCGCGAAAAATGAACCGCGAAGTAGCGAGGGACTACTGTAATGGTAGCTGTGCAAAAGATCTTGGCAGGTAGACCACAGAGAGGAGCTGGGTTGTTGTCCCTCAGTACAGATTGATGGTTTGATTGTCACCTTTACTGCAGCTTCACTGGACAAATCAAGAAGACCTTGGATGCAATATGTTCTGACACAAACGCTCGTACACATAAAAGAGCTTTAGGTGCTCAGGTTTGTGAGGGATTTGACCTTGCTCGCATTATTAGACATCCTTTATAGCAATCCTATGTTGAAAAAGCTGACAGCAACACCAAGAAACATCAATCTGATTGATCACTTTTTGGATCCTTTACACCCAGTGGTTACAACCCAAAAGACAAGGGGGGCCGGGGGGGGGGGGGGGTAATTTCAAAGTGCTGACCAAAAAGTATCTGTTAACTAGTTTGGTGAAAACAAACATGATGGTAAACAAAAACGGCATTGTAAAAAGATTTTGGGTCATCCAAACACTCAACCTACCATTTAAACCCTCATACAAACGTAGAAACAGGAATAAATAAGTTTGTGCTCTTCTTGATGCAAATAAAAAAATAAAATAATTTAACACCCCTTGTGAATTCAAATTTCTCAAATTGAAAAAGGCCCGATGTATTACGTCACAACAATGTACCAAGCATTAATCACTGGCTGCAGACTAGCTGGTAGTTCAGAGTCCAACCAGAAAACACCAGCTGGTGTGTCAATAAATCAGATATTGAGTTCTTTAAGCTCACGAGCTTCTATGACAGGAAGAAATCTAAGTTTTATTACAGTCAAGTAACAGAACAAAATTACAAATATACATAGAATGCTCTGTGGGAAAGATTATAAAATAAACTATGTTCCTGAATCCAACAAGATTGAGTCAAGTCCTCTGGACGGATTCTTCTTGTTGAAACATTTCGTCTTTTATCCAAAAGACTTCTTCAGTCTGAAGAGCTGCAACAAACTCAGTCTTATAAATAGCACCTTCTCAGAGTGGATCAACCAGTTTGCTGGTGACAGCCAAAACTAGTTGTTCACTTGTAAAAGGAGGACCATCAGCCTAATGAGCTGGCTCCTGAGATTGTTGTCCGCTCTGTGGTACAGAGTCCTGATGACTCTTAACTTGTGCTCCAGTGGGTGATGGGAGTCAAACCACTCAGGAGCCAGGCAGAAGACAGGCTCTGGATCAATGTGGATATTCTAACTGGGCCTTTCTGAAAGAATAAACTCAAACAGGACTCCAGTCAGCCATCAGGTGAAAAGGAGGAACCCAGACCCAGACCAGTGGTCATTCCATATGTTGAGGGAGTATCAGAGAAACTGAGACGTTTATTTTCTAAACATAACGTCCCAGTGGCTTTTAAACCCCAAAATACATTAAAGACTGGTTCATCCCAAAGATCCAGTCCCCCGGCACAAACAGAGTAATGTTGTGTATGTTGTTCAGTGTCAGGAGGGTGATCAGTCTTACATCGGGGAAACTAAACAGCCACTGGCCAAAATGATGGACCAGCACAGAAGAGCAACAACATCAGGCCAGGACTCTGCGGTCTACACTCATCTCCAGGGCAGAGGTCACTCTTTCAGGGATGAAGATGTTCACATCCTTGATGGAGAGGAACGATGGTTTGAGAGAGTAAAGGAGGCCATCTTTGTGAAAAGAACCATCATTAAACAGGGGTGGAGGCCTCCGTCTTCCAACTGTCCCCCTCTTACAATGCTGTTATTGCTAGTATCACTCAACCCTCTGTGAATAGTAAACAGCCACTAACAATTGGTTGTTAGGCTGATGGTCCTCCCTTTGCATGTGAACAGCTAGTTTTGGCTGTCACCAGCAAACTGGTTGAACCAGTATGAGAAGGAGCTGCTTATAAGATAAGATGACATAAGCCAGACCTCTACTGATCCCACAGGAAATTGTTGAAAGACTGAGGCTGAGACATCTGGATAAAATACAAAGAAGAATCCATCCAGAGGACTTGATTCAACCTTGTTAGAATTATCTACCTGGATTATTGAGCATGCATCGGGACATTTGTTCCTAAATGAAATATAAACGTCTTAAATGGCTCCGGTTGTTACATTTTAAAAGCTCTTCTTATTTATGCGAGCCTCCACGATTATCGATTAAGTGTTTTATTGCACATGTGCCCATCGCTCCACGGTGTGATCATGTAACAGTGCGTATCTCATGGCAGAGAGGGTAGGATCAGAGGGCTGTCTTACTTTCTTGTTCTGCTCTGGGGATCTATCCGTACAATGAGAGGAAGAGTCACTTAAGCTTTGAGACCTACTACCACGGCCCCTGCTCCTTTGCTAAAAAGTAAAGAGCTACTCCAAGTTTTTGGAAGGAAATCCAAAGGTAGAAGACTAAATGTTAACTGAAACAGCTGTTCAAAGCCAGTTCATTTATAAAAGTTATACAACAAAGACTTCCAATCAGCCAATACAAAGCTCCCAACAAACAACCAGACCTTTGCAGTCCACCAATAAAAGAAATGGTGCATCCATAGAGGCATTTACTAGACTGAAGTAGAAACAAAAGAAATACATATTTTACAAACAAATGTCTGGCTAAAATTAAATACATTTTAGTTGGGACTAAAGAAGGATCAACTTAAATTAGGAAATAGGTTTTACAACCCAAATCCTGTCAAGCCCATCCAGAGTTCTTTTTTAAAACCCATTCAGTCTGCAGTGCAGCTTTCCCCATCATTAATCCTCTCACGTACGTTCTCGTTATTCAGACAGTTGCACCATAATGACATTACACCCCAGCATCGAAAGCAATTTATACACGATCAATGTAATCAATGTAACAGCTTGAGTCCTTCCATCAGCGTTTGTTAAAAATGAAAAATGTGACGATGTTTGTGTTTACAGGGACAGCATGAAGCTAGTCCTGTATGACTTCCAACCATTGTACCACAAACTGTCAAATGTTTGTGGTAGACGTTTACTGGACGGTCTCCCATAGCAGAAATGTCCTACAAGTTGTCGAGTGACGAGAGCTCAACAGGTGATCTCTTTAGCAGGGTGGAGCGGTTTAAGAAAAAAAAAAACAGTGAAATGCAGCAAAGGCAGAGAGCAGCAGCCATGTTGGATCATGTAGGACAGCAGTTGATCTGTCAAAGTTTTGATCTTAGGACGAGAATCAAATGTTGGATGGCAACTCGACAAACACTTTTTACCATCGTCAGAAAGGAGCATCCACACCACAGCCAGGAGAGGCTTAAGACTGAAACAGACCACTTCACACACGTTTGATTGCAGGGGTTCCCAACCCTGGTCCTTGAGGAACACCATCCTGCATGTTTTAGCCGTTTCTCTGCTCCGACACACATGATTTTAATTAATGGGTAATTAGCAGTCTTCTGCAGAACACGAGAAAGTAATTAAATCACTGAATCAGTGTGTTGGAGCAGGAAACAACTAAAGCATGCAGGATGGTGTTCCTCAAGGATCAGGGTTGGGAACCACTGGATTTAAGGCAAATACTTTTTTTTGCCAAACAAATGAAGCACATTTTAAAATAAGTAACGTTTCTCCATCTACTGTGTACAAATTGCACACAGCTTTACTCAAAGACTCCAAAAAAAGAGAAGTTAAATGTCTCATACTATCAGCGTATTACAGATACATAGTAGTTGTGGCGTCTTCACAAAAAAACAAAATTGGGGGGGGGGGGGGGGGGGTGAATACCTGAAAACTGAGCAGAACCATGGGCTTTGTGAGCCGTTCCAGCTCTGCTCTTTAAAGAAAATTACTGACATCAACTCTGCAACTGCTGTTTTTCTGCTAATATGTTTGTTCATTCATCTTTTTTGGACTAAATTAGGACGATCTGAAAAAAGGTAGCCATTTTACTTTTACCCCATCAAAATTTGGGAATAATTATACTACATTTTTATTTTATATTGATTAAATATAACAATGTGGGAAAACAAAACAAAGTCATGTTCATATGTGTAAAATAGATGAGTCATCATAAAGAAAGCATCTTTTTGGTGTTGGTGTAAACTAAACAGAATCCAGCACTTGGTAACTTGATCCAAAACGAAGGGACGAGTAACAACGGCACGGACAATAATTAAAATTAAGAGCTGAGACGAGAGCAGAGATGAAAGCAGGTACAAGTTGAACAGAATAAAAATATAAGAGCGGTAAAAGCGTAGACACAAGAGACTAAGTTGACAGAAGGAGAAACAGAAAAATGTGATAATTAAGAAAACAAAATGGTGTTAAGAGGAAGGACATGAAAGAGTTCATGGGTGAAAGAACAAGAAAAGAGAGGACGTGATAAGTCGCTTATGATGCGGCAATGAAGCGCACAAAATAAAATGTATTTCACATCGAATTTAAACAATGTGTTATATTCATCTGTTCGGAACAAAAACACAATAAAATCATTCATATTCAAACACACCTGCCTGCCGGACACACATGCAATTACATGCAACAAACCCTGAAGCATTCACGGCTCTTAATACAATGTGTAATTAAATTTATTATCAAGAAAGAAGAGGGGAAAATCCCATTTATCCACACGTGTGGAGACAGGTTAAGGCAGCAAATGTAGTTTTCAAGAAAAATTTCACATCTGGTGTGGAGCAGAGTTTGGGTTAGTGTTATAAATACAATAATTACAATATAACAAAAAAAAAAAACCTCATAGGGACACTTACCAGTTTGCTGTGATGGTATTTGCAATATCCACAGTATTTGACATTATCTGCATCTGATCCTTGTTCTTCACACAACAGTCCTGCAAACTGGGCACTGACGAAAAAATGAATGTAAGAAAAAAATAATTTGTGTATGTTATTAAAAACGGCACTAGGTACAAAACGAACAATAAAACGGAGATTAGTTTGTTAAAACTCCAGTTGGATGTAGAATCTGGCCTGTCTCACCACGTGACGTGGAAGGCCTGTCGGCAGCCATGTTTGTTGCACGTCATACAGGCCCCGGTGGCTGCTTTACTCTCTCTGCCCTGCTCTTCACAGATGTAACACGTCTACACGCACAAATCAAAGACAAGATGAAGTCCACCTCCTGAATTTGTGTTTTGTGACAAACATGTGCAAAGATGCACTTTGTTACCTTGTTGTAGCGCTCGTGCGGCACCGACTGGAGTACTATGGGCTCCATAGTCGACACGTTAGCAAACTCCACCTCAGGTATGTAAAGCGCACAAACCACGTGGGCCCAGCCTGTTAAGTCATAAAACAAGGCTATAAGCCTCTGCGAGAATATGTCTACACAATCTGAACATAGAAGCATTAACTGTCTGGTTCTTATTTATACAAAACTAGAAAAACAGTGCACGGTTTATGGGCAGGCTGTGATAAAACGTATATGTAACAGGTTAATAATCTGCAGTTATACCATGAAACATGCAACCACAGGGAGGAACTTAAGAGTTTACCGTCTTGTCTGAAGACAAGTTGACATATTGAGCTGTAAACTGGACTGCAACCCTCATCTTTAAAGGCAACCTATTTTATCACCAGAGATATGCAAATGTATGGAACCTGTAGAGCTGAGCAGGCATTCACCTGCGGGTTTTCAACCAGTAACTCAACAGCCAAGATACTGATGGATAAACCCTTAAACTAGAGGCTCGATGTGGTGAATGAACCAAAAACATCACAATCTCTCCCTCCATCCATCCATCACCTTTACCAGTTACTTCCTTTTCAGGTCGTGGGGTTCACTGGTGCCCGTATCCAGCAGTCAGTGTGCGAGGCGGGGGGACACCTGGACAGGTCTCCAGTCCATCACAGGGACACATAAGAGACAAACATTCACTCTCTCACTCACAACTAGGGATAATTTAGAGTTACCAATCAGCCGAACAGGCATGTTTTTAGTCTGTGGACTAAAAATGCACAGAGAGAACATGTAAACTCCACCCAGAAAAGATTTGATCCGACAACCTTCTCACTGAGAGGCAACAGCTCTACCAAATGAGCCACCATGCCACCCACGATGGCTGTATACTTTCTATTAAATGCATTAATTGTATTATTTTAAATATGTTGCATGTCTGAGCAATTAAAAAAATCTTTTGGAAAAAGCCGTAAAGAACAGAGTCTTAAAACTCTTCCAAACTAGATTTTCTTTTTTCCGTATTTGGAAAATGGTTACACCAAATCCCAGACTTTTTAAGAGTGCGCAGGAACCCTGACAAAAAGCTCAAGAGTTTTAACTCGTACGCTCTTTGATGTGGACGGAACAAAGAAATTAAAATGGTCAGCGACGGCCCTTCTCCAGCTATAATTGTTCATAATTTCCATGCTTCAAACAACAGAAAAGTCTGAGTGCTCCATTTACTTACTTTTAAGCTCTTAGTGCGTTTTAGAGAAGATAAAATAATGGCTTTAAAACACATCAAACACAAATTATAAACCATCTTTGGTCCAAACAAAAAGGTCCGTGTCAAGCATACATCTTTCTCCTGGCCCCTTTGCTAAACATTACGTTTACGTGTCGAAACACGTGAACGTCAGAATGCAGAATCTCACATGCTTTAATTTGTAAATTGGAAGTGTGTGTACCTAAGCATCTGTTTATTGAGCCACAACACACACACACAGCTGCCTGTCAGCAAAGACAAACTGGGGGCAGTAGAGTGACAGCAGGGCACGGCGGAGGGGCAGCAAAATTGACGATAGGTTGAGGAGGAGCTGGAGGAGGTGAACTGCAGGTCAGATGGAGGTGGGAGTCTCCGACCACATTGGAGGTGTCTGTTTTTCCCCCCCACAGCTGAAACAAACACTGGCCTAAACTTACAGTTGAACCCATGACCTGCCTTTGACCTGGTGAGTGGGACCGGAGGGGGCGGGACAGAAGGGTGGAGCGGATGTGAAATGTGGGCACGTTGTTGTTTCGAAGGATCTGGAGGAGCCCATTAAACCAGGACCATAAAGAGTCGCAGGGTTTTACTCGCTAGCCTGAAAGTTCAAATTTATAGTCAAGAAAACCCCATAAGGGCATTCGTTTTATTTACTGAATGGATCAATATCTGCACAGTCACTATTCTTTAGAGTTACAGGTTATAGTAATGTGCTGCACAACATGACTCAGCTGTTTAAAAAAAAACTGAACATTCATGTTCAATAAAAAACAATTAATTTCCAGCACATACTAAATAATGGTTGTATAAAGATAAACTGCCACATTAAAAAAAAACAATAAGTTTGACACAAAACTAGGTACAACAATGACGCTGTTTTGTTTTTTTTTTACTTTAAATTCTGTCAACTTTGCCCACCTGAAACAACAAGAACAACAAAGATCAACAAGTGACAGGGAGCTGACGAGAGCTGAAGAAGATGGTGAGAAAAACGCAAGGAAGAAGCAAAGCGACAGAGAGGGGTCATGGGAAGGGTAAAATAAAAGAGAAAGTAGTAAAACGGTGTGTGTTAGTGTTGTCCTGATGCCTCCCTGCAGGCCTGGACACAATCCCACAGCTGTGCCTCTCCCTCTCCGACTCACACACACACTTACATGCACACAGAATATTTACAGTCTCCACCAAGATGACCTCCCAATGAACCCCGCAAGGAGACTCCTCACAGGCCACGCACTACACCCGTCCCGCCCCCTCATAAACCCACACACACACTCGCACGCTCTCATAAAACGTGGACAGGCGAGGACGGTGCGGAGCGGCAGCACGCACAACAAACGGCTACATAACTCTCCCAGCACGCTCACGGCCCTTCAACTTGCTGGTGACGTGCAATTAAAGACGGCAAACAAGAGGCGAGGCGCAGATGCGAGTGGGTGCGTGAGGCTCCGTTACCTCCGTTGTCCGTCCTCTTGAGGGCTCCATCTTTGTGGGGACAGAGCTCACATCTCTGTTGGTTACAAAAAGGAGGAAAGGGAAAAATCAGATCAGGAACAAGTGAAACTTTTTGTGTGACGGCGTGAGACGAGACGGACACAGTGAGGAACACAACCAGCAGCGGTTTGGGAACACACCCTCATTATCTGCCACCGAACGGCGTCAACCCTCATTTTAGCAGCTCTCCTGATGACTCAGCGAATTCTCAACTCGAGCAAGTCGGACCTCTAAATGCTACGCACCTGAAACAGGATTTTACAAAGAGCAGTCTGAGTGGTTTCCAAGTTCTGGTTAAGATGCTTCTAAGTTTCAAATATTTTTGCGTTGCATTAGGAATAAACGGGCAGCTTTGGTATAATCTGCTCAACATTACGCAATCTAAATATTTCTCTTTTGGGCACTCATTTATTTAGGAGTTCAGCTTATTTAGAAGATTATGGAACACCAAAATGCTCAAAATTAAATAAATAAATAAAGCATTATGAAACAAGTATCTATGGTCATTATTATGAAAATGTTTAACTTTTATTCTTTATTTCATAATTGTGTTTTCCATCATGGCTTATTTATTTCATAATGACGTCAGCAGAATGACTTCAGCTGTCAGTCAAGAGGATTACGTTCTCGTTAAATACGAAAGAAATACAACAGCGAGTCCTCCCGTGCACGCTCCTGTGGCACTGATCAATTTTTGTCACGACACCCGTGTCTTCTGAGAACGTCATCCTCTCAATTTGATCTGCTAAAGTGAACGGAGTTAAACAAAGTTCATGCAACTCTGCATCCTTCATGACTGTTGACCTAGCAAGTCGCTACTAGCTGCTACGCTAGCTGTAGCAGTTGGCAACAGGAAAACTAATGGATGTGAAGGATCAGCCAGTGGGCGTGAAGGTCCAACCCACTGACGTCGATTGACCGCTGAAGTCATTCTGCTGAAAAACGTCATTATGAAATAAAAGAATAAAAATGAAAAGTTTTCTTATTTCATAACGCTTAATTTATTTATTTAATTTTGAACATTTTGGTGTTCCATAGAAGATGACTGTTAATACTTAGTTTCGCCCTCCATCCAGAAGGCTTCATCAGTCTGAGGAAACGCCAAACAAAACTTTTTCGTCAGACTGATGAAGCCTTCTGGATGGAGGGTGAAACGTCTCGGCACAAAAAAAGAAACCGTCCAGATGACCTGACAGAACAATGTTGGATATTGAATACACTGATGCAGGTATTTTTATTTTATTTTACACCATTGCCTATTTAAACTGACATTACTGTAGGCAAACAGCACAATTAATACAAATTTCAAAATTGGAAATGTTGCCAGTGGAGATACTTTGAATTTAAGAAAAGATACTGTATGAATTAATGTTGTTTTTCTTAGTGGAAGCAAGTGACGAGCAACAGTGGAAATGTCCCACAGTTGTCGTGATGTTTACAGAATTATCTGTTTATGACAGAATTGCAACAAAGTCTTGTCTGTTGTGATTTGCAAAGATTTTAAAATGAAGCTGCGCCGTTTAACCACAGTTGTGTTGTCCTTTCTTGACAACTTTTATAATTTTCAAAAATATTAAACTTTATAATTACTCTCACCACAGAATTAAATGGAGATCTCCTCTTCTTTCAGAATCCTTTTAAATCTGCGTCAGCACGCCGTTTCTTTGCTACTTTAGCTTTGACAAGCCAACTGCAACCTATAACTTTCAGTTAAAGTTTTGCTGCTCTAAGTTGTTATTTTTACCATTTTGTTAGCCTATTGGTACATTAAGCTTTTTGCTAGCATGTTACTACTTTCGTTTTTTTTAACTAGCATTTTGATACATTTAGCTTTTAGATAGTTTTTGGCTACTTTAATGTAGGATTTTGATACTTTTAGCTCCAACTCAGTTTCAGCTTCTTGAGCAATTTCAGCAGTCGGCATTCACACAGCGTTCTGAGAAAACATGCAACTTTATGCAAGTTCACTCAATGTGGTGAATGGGGATGGAGCCGATCTGATCCGGTATCGGTACCAGGTTTCAATACCAACATAATTCCCAGGCGGGAAATTTGCGATCCATGAGCCATGTCTGGGCTTTAATGTTGTCTGCTTAAGTGAAACCACAGGTGATTCCCTGCCAGCTGTTCTGCCAGCTGGCTGCAAAATGTGGAATGGATTTCCTGAACAGAGGCGTGTCTCATGAGACACCGAGACATGAGGCATGCCTCTGTTCAGGAAATCCATTCCACAGTTTTCAGCCAGCTGGCAGGCGAGCATTGAGCGACGCTGTGGCTAACCAATTTTTCATCGCAACACCTCTGCTGTGTAGAAATATTCAACACCAGAAACACAGCAATCAAGACAGCAATGTGTAATGTTTGCAAAGCCGTTGTGCTGAGAAGCGGAAGCTCCATCATGACCTACAACGCAACAAACTTAATCAAACATTTGAAAAAAGTACCACATTAAAGAGCACAAGGATTTTTTGGCCAGGGAAAGATGAAAGTAGCCGTCAGGAATCACTTCTGTAAACTTCCACCAGACAACGTGAAAGCTAAAGGGATTACGAAGATGTTGCTTAACTTCATTGTACTTGAAAACCAACTGTTACTGGTTGTAGAAAACTAAGGATTTTGCAGCCTAACTGATGACTTGCAGCCAAGATAAAGTTTACTCTCCACGAGATATTTATCAGAGACTGAACTATGCAACCAAGTGTCAACCAAGTTAGTTGAGAAGTTAAAAGGAGTTCCAGTCCTGAGCTTTACTACATAAATTTCTACTTAAGATGTCTGCCCAATGTCACTGATAAGCCTCACTGTGCACTGGGTTGACTCGGATACACAGTCTCTGTAGTGATGTGCTTCAGGTAAAAAAAAGATAAGAGGGGCTGACACAACCGAGCTACAATCACAGCATCCATTACAGAAATGTTAAATCAGTGGGAGATCCCTCTGGAAAAAGTGCACGTCATTCTACAGGACAATGCAAGTAACATGAAGGCTGCAATGGAAGACATGACAGTTCCTAGTCTGGGCTGTTTAGCTCATACACTGCAGCTTGTTGTGCAAGAGGGACCAATATCACAACGCAGCTTTAGTGATGCTTTGGCAAACAGCAGGAAGATCGTAGCACACTTCAAGCATTCACAACTCGACCTGCAGCATGAAATGCAAGGTGCGAGAACCACGACCACCCCAGCTCTCCTTGTTTGAGATGTTCAAACAAGATGGAATAGCTCCTTATGATTAATTTTCCACCGTAAACGTCACACCGCCCTATAAGTCGCATTCGTCCAAAAATGTCTAATAAAGTGAAAAATCCATAAATACGTCGCATCTATTGCGCGTCACCGGCGGTGTTGTGCTAAAAATCGATTGGCTGCCAAATGGCGGCAGCGGGGGCGTGCACAGGAGGACTTTAACAAGAATTTAACAAGATTAAAACTTAAAAACAATTATTTGTTTACTCAAATTTATAGCAATGGTGTGTCTCAGTCTAACTTTTCCTTAATAAATGCACTTTGATGGTCAAATCAGCTGCATTTCAAAAGCAGATACGTGGAAACATGAACATGCAGAGGGCGACTCGTGCATTTCTTCTAAATTTAACAAGATAAGCACCTAAAAACAATTACTTGTTTGCTCGACTTTATGGTAAAGGTGTCTCAGTTGAATATTTACTTAATAAATAAACTTTAATGGTCAAATTAGCTGCATCTTGCCAGGGCGGTGCAGTGAATTGAAGCTGATTTGACCGTTGCTCCAGGCGAGCTGGACAACGGTGGCAGTCTATGGAAAGCCGATTGTGTCATTAATAGCTAATTTTACCTATTACGTGACACAACAGCATGCCATACTACTCGAGTGCCATCAAGCGGCTGAGAATGGTAGTGTTCAATATTTTCAGTCAGAATTAATGAAAATGGTCATATCTCAGCCAAAAATTGGTTTATAAATATGGAGAAATAAATCTAAATACGTTTCTTCAGCGTATAAGTCACAGGGCATGCAAATTATGCAAAAAACTGCGACTTAGAGGGCGAACAATACGGCAATGTTGGCCAAGTTTTAAACTGAAAATTAAATCCTGCTAAACCAAAACTACATGATTGACTCCTAGCTTTAGAGATTTGTTCACTTACAATGAATTGGATAAAAGGGGAGGTGGGTGTACGTGCGCACGTGCATGCTGTCTTGCAGCAGCAACACGTTTTTTTTTGTACTCGGCACATTTCATTTCTGTGTCAGATTCTTTACTCGTGGAGAAACTGCCAGGAGGGCGAAGGCTCTCCTCCTGACACAAGAGCTTAAGAAGATGGAGCAAGCACTGCTCGGGGCATCAGCTGATGTAGCAGGGGTGACGGAGGCAGAGCCAGCAGACGAGGTCGCTGGTCCAAGAACTGGTTGTCCTCCAAAGCGAAGAGCAGCTCCAGCAGTCTGTAAGACAGAATTCTGGAGGAGCAAGTTGAACATGCCCCAGGTACCCAGGCAGTGGTTATCCAAATGCAAATATATTTGAAAGAATCAATGATAGGTGAGAAAGACGGCCTTTTCCAGTACTGGGCAAACAGCCATGCTCACTTTCCTCTCATTGGTGCTGCTGGTGCAAAGTTCCTGAGTGCTCCTTCAACCAGTGAGAAGAGGAAGACTGTTTAGCACAGCATCCAGCATCTTGGATGAAAAGAGGAGAGGTCTGACAGCAGACGACAGAAATGCTCATATTCTTCAAAAAGAACCTGCCAATGTTTAAGTGAGATTTGTTGAACACTAGATCACTCCCTCACTGTTAACTTTTTCAGGGGTCATTTACTTTTTATTGTTTTCTTTTGAAGAATGGTTACACAGACTCTGGCGTTAAGCTTAATCCAGGTCACCTTCAATGTCAAACCTCCTACTGTACTTGATTTTTGCTGTTCACACACCGTTTTATTGAGAACGTGTGCAAGATGTTACACTTACTGCACTTTTATTTTATTTCAAATATTTGACATTTGAAAACCTTGATTTGTTGCTGCTACAAAAGAAAGAATGTAGTTACTTTGTGCTGATCAGAGGAAGCAGCGGTTTGTACTTGATTTGGAGTGGTAGTGTTAGAGAAGTTTACTCTTTATGTCATGGATTTAATAAATACTGACAGTCAATTTGAAACCCTTACAGCTATGTATTTGTTAAGAGGATGGGAGTTCGTGTTAACAAGTTTTCCTGTTTTTCAGACTTCCTTCTCTGACCTTATACTTGCCTCTAGTTGCCTTTTGGGACATACATGCATACATTCATACTCATACCTGCCCATAGAGTGGAGTTTATTACAGCCTCATATAAAAATCAACATTAATGATAATATTAATATTCAAGCAGAGCTCTGGTATTCGGAATAGTTTCGTTATCAGTAGTTATCCAAATTCAGGTATCGAGATCGGATCAGAAATGGAAAAAAATGTGGATCGGTGCATCCCTGGTGGCGACCTCTGCAGACAGGAGCAACCAAAAGGAAAAAGGTATTTTAAACTCTTCTCTGTTATCGGAGTATATGCAATGGCATATGTTTTAATTTTTCTTTTTCTTTGAGCAACAGAGATTAAAATGAACAAAAAAAGAATAAAATACATTAATTACGAGCAGACAAAGACTAATAAAATCCACAACAAATATTCTGACAAAGGGTGACTGTTAATGTAAAGCTTACATTTCACTCTTCTCACCAGTCACCTTTAATTTTACAAGAAATTTCAAAAAAACTAAATCTACCCCCCTAAATAAATAAATCCAACAACAAAAAAATGAATAAATCTAATCATTCTTAAAGAGAAAGTTAAAATGTTGATTTTAGTTGTAGTCCATCCTGTTTTATTCCAGACCGAGTACAAATACTTGAGTTTAGGTACTTGCCAATACTAAGCACCAATACGTAGTAGCAGTATATACATTACAAAATGACTATAACGCATTGCTTTTATTCAGACAGCAAACGTTCTGATCTCCTACCATGACTGGTATTTATCTTTGAATATATCAACACTTTTTAATGCCCCCAGTTGAGCAGTGAAAGAGAAAATGCTGTCACTTTGCACAAAAAGTGGTATAAATCAGGATTAGTGTTTTTATGAAGCTGGTGTTGGTATCACCACCACACCCTTAATCAAATGTAAGAATAATTAGTAATCATGTCTCTAATCCACTGAATTACGCGTTAACATTTTATTTCTTCATTTTTACGGGACTGTGCAAAAGTCTTCAGCTACTACTCCTTACGTTTTATTTTGCTTTCAAGACAACATTTCTTATTAAAATACTTTTAAAATATATCTTCTAAGTTGTCTTATGAACAGGAAACACAAGTTTAACCTTTAAGTCGGATGCCTTCCATGCTTGAATAACTCATGAGCCGTAGTTAAGTGGATTGAATTAAAAAATAAAAAAAGCATTCCTCTGAAAATGGTCAGCTACGTGGACCGCACTTAAAATGTGTCAAATTCAACCAGTTGCCAGAATAAACTCAAACATTTTGAAAAAGAAAAACGTTCAAAAGTCTAAAGAACTACCCGCTGCGGATTTCACAAATTTGCTTTACATAAATTTACTTCATCTAAATAGGCTTGGGCGTTTCTATCTGATTTTTAGGCGTAAAAAGATAAGCTAAGCGTCCTCCATCAAGCTACAAAGACAGATAAAACTTTATGTTAAAGCAAAGGAACATTTGCTCTTTCTGCACACACGGAAACAAAAGGAACCGCTCTAGCACCTGTATCAACAGCTGCATTAAGTAAATCTTACCCTGACCGAATCCAGACAGGTCTTTGGAAGTTGGCTGAGGTCATGTTGAGTTGACGCTCAGCGAGCCGTACCAGATAGTGTGTTGCAACAAGTTTCACCCAGAGACCAGTCTCACATGTAATGATTCAGAGGTCTGAGGAGTTCAGGTCAGCCCACGGTTCTTAAAGCATTTCCAGGGAACGAATGGCTCTCAGAGGAAGCATTTCTGTCTGAACAGCTTGTTTATGCAGTTGTTTCCAACACTCCAGCAGATTTGATAAAGGAAGGATGTTTGTGACCATCTTTTATAAAGCTTTCAAACAGGATAACAGAAAAGTTGGTGACATTATGACAAGTCTACACAGACCTCTAATTTACCTTCTATAATTAACTACCTGTATGTTTCCTACCAAATTTGCAACAATACTATTCTGCAATACATTGTAAGTTGTTTAATTTGTTTCCATCCCATTGTTATAATTTTGTAATTGTATTAATTTAGCTATCAAAATAAAACAAACTCATGTTTTAAAATTAGATTTTACAACACAGAAGGGCTCTATAGAGTCAAAGGTGCCCATTTTCAGCAGCTGCTAAACAAGTTCAAGTTGTGTTTGTCATATGCAGTTAACAAAGGGTTAACAGTACAATGAAATGCTTAGGATGAGAAGAATCGATTTGAAAGGGCTAAAAAAAAAATCAAAGAATAAACCAACAAGAAACACTAAAAGCATGCAATAAGGGTACACAAAAATATATATTCAAACAAACCATTATTCCCCACCAGTGTGATTGATAGCTGGTAGGATGTTTGTTTTTTTAGACAAATGTGTTCTCTGTTCAAATAACATTGTTCCAGACATCCTGTTTTATTAAACAGCAGAGTTGCAAACCTAAGCTGTGATGTCATGGTTGTTCGATCAGTCTTTTTCTTATCGTCCTGTGAACATTTGTAACATTTAACGTGCTAACGGAGGCCTGCAGAGAATGAGGCGTAGCTCCTGGTGTGTGCAGTTTCTCTGAGCATCGTAAGCTTTGACCGCAGGGTAAACTCGCAGACTCCAAGACTGACAGCTGTTTTAAACGTCCTCAATTTGTGAACAATCTTCCGCAGAAGGACCGACCCTAAATTGTTTTGCAATGTCCTCATAATCCTTCCCAGATTGACAAGCAGATTTTGATTGCTGATGTCGTTTCTTCATGGCATTGTGTTAAACCACACCTGAAGGCTCCAGAACAGGAAACTACCAAAACATCTGCTTTTAAAGAGGTGCTCAAACCTGCTCACGCTAACCTCCGAGCCTATGCTGCGTTACGCTGACTTTTTGTGCTTTAGGAGCAAACGGATTAAACTGGAGGCGAGTTTGTTTTCAAGCAAGATTTGTGACCAAATTCTTGTTTGCACTGAAGCTCAAGCTGATCCAAATAATAAAGCATTAAAGAAAAAGTTGAACAGAGACAAGTGGGTTACTAATACCAGCTGTCTTAATATATGTTGATTAATGGTTGGTATAGTTCAAATAGAAAGATGGTACTGGAGTTGTATTAAAACTTTAGGAAACTGTGTCAAAAAGCTGGGCTAAACACGTCTCCTTTAAGCTTTAAGATCAGGTCACTGAGATAACTCATAAAAGATGAACGAGAAAAAGGAATTAAATAACTCACCACACGAGCTGCTCTCTCCTGAGATTCACACTTCCTGCAGAACCAGGGACCAGTAGGCACCTGAACGATGCCGTAACAAGCTGCAAACAGGCAAGGAGGGCGTTAAAGAGGCAAACATTTACATGTAACCATCTTAAAAACATCTTTTAGATGCAGTGCCACAGAATACTTTAAATAAACCTGTACTATAGAACCTAACAGCATTGGGTCACAATACCACATACTACATTATTAATCAATGAAGCCAAACCACACTGACGTGGACTGCTGCAACATTCATTAGAAGGTGTGCAAACCGTAAAGCACTTGAGTTTGTGTAGGTAACCACCATACAGGCGCAGCAACACTACTTTAAACAGCCTACCTCCACACATTTTCAGATTATCCCTGATCTGACCAGAGCCCATAATCCACTGGAATGAAGAGCTATAATCCAGATTTCTGAAAACATGGATGGTTTATCCAATCACTTAAAAGCTTGTTTTTTATTATTATTTTGCTGCTAGGCAAACCAACCCAGGACGTGAATGCTTCATTTTAATCTGTTACTTTTCTTATCCTAAACCACAAGAAAAGTGTTTGTGTATTTGATACGTAAACATGTTCATTGTGCTGATTTCAAGCGCTAACATCCATCGTGATTGCATTTAGATGTTGCTATGTTCTCCATGTGCGTTGAAGACGTCTCCACTTAAACCACCATTGAAAATGGACAAGAACCCTTTTATCCACATTGGTTTGGTAGTCTGAACACAAATCATCCTGAGCAAACCATGCACTGAACTGAATGACCCCAAATAGGCAGTTGTGTTACTACCAAACGTACCCCTGTAAAATTTCATCCAACATGGCAAATTAAAGATGATCAAAGCATCCTCATGAATACTCTGAAGATATGGAAATGGAACAGTTGTTTGTTCTTTCTGGAAAAACTTTGAATAAATTGTAGTTTTGAGCACTTTTCAATGAAAAATTCTGTTTATGTGCAATTTATCAATCAGTGAATTACGTGGACATAGTTTTTAGTATTAGTCTAAAGTTTGTTATGATTGTTTTTAAAAGTTGGTGTACCCACAAATGATATGCAATATATTAAGTTTTTCTTATATATTGTGAGTCGTCATTCATGCAATATCAAAAATGACAATATTGCAAATATAGAATATAAGTTTTATTGTTTTTGAGTCTGTATCTAATTCCCTAGTTTAGTTTTTTTTCCAGGTGCTTCTTCTTCTGT